GTAGTGCAGCGCTAGTATTGTCACTCTTGTGTGCCTATTTTGGGCATTAAATTTACAGCTACCTAGTGTGACTATTGGGCAAAAGAGCTCCTGGTTGTCGGGGGACTTCTTGCGCATTAGAAATAAAATTTACATGCTAGTGTTAGCAAAAATCAGGCTTTATCTTGATAAAGCTGCAGTTTTGTGTACAGTGTATCAAAGATGGCAGTGATCAAAAATTATCCTGACACTACACTTGTTGGGGTGGGGTGTGGAGGGCTAAACGCAAGTGCTGGCAGCGAACAGTGCTGATCCTGCTAACACTCTGTTTTTGGGGGACACTGTACAATTTTGTTTGTGATCAAGATACTACTATACTAGTTATGGCAGTTACAGTATAGTGTGGTGGGCAATCAAAGGGTTAAATGTGGAGGGCGATAATGTAGTGGTTAATCTGGCGCTATTTGATGCTACCTGCGAAGGTCACTGACTGATGCTATCTGAGTTCTCTAGTGACAATAATACATTGATCAGTTTATGTCAATATTTTTGAATTTCAAAGCGGTACATTGTTTTGCATGGAAATTTGTTGTTTTATATTGTAGGTCTGTAATTCTTAGGAATAACTCACTTAAATCTGTCCAAACAAGAGTCTAGTAAACATCCCGGGTATGATAAAGTTTGAAACACGAAATTATAAATTATAATATAATAAATAATGATAAAAAAAAAAAAAAAAATTTATTTAAATAATGTAATCAAACCAAAAACACTGAAATTTTTCCAAACAAGGGTGCAATATTACTAGACACTGCATATTGGTTTATTAAACATCCCAGGTATGAAAAATTTTGAAACATGCGTCTGCACAAAGTCCGACGTCACAATCAGGACAATGGAACCTGGTTTCCTTTCTGATTTTCTTTCCACTGTCATCTCACTTCGAGCAACAAACCACGCACATCCTTGTAGATGCTGACTTTTTCTCGGTTGGTGGGATGTAGTCCAGGAAGTGACAGCCAGTCAGGCATTCCGGATTGACAACGCCAACAGCACGACGACCTCTATTCACAGCCATTGATGGTGTTTTGTGGTTCACAAAGATACATTTGGCAATTTTTCCAAATTTAAGTCAGAATGAATCATAAGCTTGTCACACTTTTTTTTGAGCAGAATGTAGGCATTCCACAAGCATTGCTGAAGAAGATGCCTGAATATCTTCTTATAGTACTTCTTTTGCTGTTTCCTCATTGCTGGGTAGAATGTCATTTCTTGGTTGGCTCTGTCGACACCTCCCATGGTGTTATTGTAGTCTATCACTACTTGTGGCTTCATGATTTCTTTCCCACCTTTTGTGCGTACCATGACTGGTGAGATATTATGAATTGTACTCATTAGGCACACTTCTTTCTTAACACGCCATCGCAGTACCATCATTTTGCCTTTCTGCCAGGCAACCATTTCTCCAGCCTTCAGTTTCCTAATACCAAACATTGGCGGCACGTTGCGCTGGCCATGGTTGCTTTATTTTGGATTGTAGCCAGTAAAGATTCGCATAGCCTGTAGGATTTTACGCTAAATTGTGCTCTCTTTGATGCAATGTATTGTATCCTGCTGAGCCTTCCCTTGTAGGCCATTAGACTTTCATCTATGCTGATATCTCTTTCTGGCACATAGCTCCATTGGAAATTCTTTAGAATCATTTGAGATACTTCTCAAATTTTCTTTAGGTATGGTGCAGGATGAGTATTTTCATCAAATTCTTTGTTGTTTTCGAAGTGTAAAAATGTCGTGATCAGGGAAAATCTGTACTCTGACATGACTGTGCCAAAGAAAGGAGTAGCAAGTAATTTATTAGTTTTCCAATACCACTTCTGCAGGGGTTTCCCCACCAATCCCTAAAGTACTACTAGGCCTGGAAATGTCATCTTTGGTCACTGGTTCCCACTTTCTGCTTCTTGGAAACTTCCGATGCAGAGTAGTCAAGTGTTTGCTCTTGGTACCAGTTTGTCTCTATTTTGTCTATTTTTTCAGTAACCTCATCTGTCAGAAATAATTCTAATAATTCAACGTCTACTTTCATTCCAGATGCTCCAGTAAATGGGAATCTTGGGGGCGTTGCCTGATCCGTACCACAGTCAATAGAATACCAAGTTTGCACATCACTGAGCTCAGTCGCAGAATCGTCGCTGTCGTCACTTTCAGTGTCTGATGACGAATTTCCCCACAAATCACTATCGCTCAATTCTGCAAGTGATTCTAATTCACTATCAATACAAAAATTAGCACTCACTTCCTCTACCAAAACCCCAATAAGTTACTTAACATTCCTTCTCCTGAAGTGCAAAATAATAATAATAAGTAAACTTAAATAAATAAACAAAGTATAAAGTCCCATACACCTAAAGTCCAAAGTAAAGTCCAAAAAAATCTTTGCAAGTGATTTCCCAATAAATCTTTCTCCCCGGGTCAGATTGGTGGTATACTCCAGAGAATCTTCGAATACCTCAAAGAAAAAATCTCAACATAGTATATTACCCCAAATAATAGAGTAAAGTGCCACACGTGTCACATGCAGATACAAAAAGGTGCCACAGCAATCCTGAGATTTCAGGACTAATAATTCTATTAGCAACTCCACTACACACAATATAAAAGGTGCATAATTACCCCAACATAGATAAACTCAGCATAGAATCCATAGTATAGATGAGAATGCCTCCAAAACATAGTTCTACCATCTTCTCCAACCTTTTCCCATAGACTTCATAAACAGACCAGGGATCAGTATGTGTATTAAAAGATAAACATATTTTATTGTAGCAACTTACATTGAAATTTGATGAAAACAGCTTCCATGTAGTGAGATAGTCCAAAAAGACCCCACTCCTTAGCGGTAACTCTTTTTATATCCCCTTATCACTCAGAAGGAGAGCCAGGCAAACGTGGAAGTCTCCAGGGTTGGGACAACCGCGTGTTCCAGAACCCAAAATGGCCACCACGGCACTTCCGGAAAAACGTCAATACGTCACGTTCCCCCCGGGGAACGTGACGTGGTGACGTATTGACTAATAGAATTATTAGTCCTGAAATCTCATGATTGCTGTGGCACCTTTTTGTATCTGCATGTGACACGTGTGGCACTTTATTATTTGGGGTAATATACTATGTTGAGATTTTTTCTTTGAGGTATTCAAAGATTCTCTGGAGTATACCACCAATCTGATCCGGGAAGATAAAACCGCTTTTGACCTAAAGGGACGCTTTTTGGATGTCATGGACATTCTCAAGTTTCCAGGCAGAAAGAATGGTAAAAGTACAGTCAGGTCTCTGGACAAAGCGCTAGGGACAAAACTGAGGTGAAATGGTTTGATATAGTAATGTAATCCTAACAGATTACAATGTATTGTATATGTCATATTTTTACTTTTATTTTAATCTTCCGTCGGCTCCGCCCCCTCACGTTATGACGCTCGCAGGGAAAGGAACCTGGAAGACGGATGCCGGCATCAGCCGGAGGACGCGGTCGGAGGACACAGCGGGAGGACATCGGGGGGGAATCGCAGGACAAGTTAAGGATGTACATTATACTAATGACATTGTGACAGGGCACTCAGAGGGTTTAATAGAGGGCAAGAAAGGGGTTAAAAGTGCTTAATGGTGTGTAAGTGACACTTAAGTGTAGGTGTTTTGTTTATACTCACACTGGTCTGGCTTCTTGTTGTCATGTGATCACTATAACCAATCATAATGACCACGTAATACCTGGTTGTCGGTCATCATAATGTGCCCCTAACCCGGAACAGGCTGTATGACATACAGTCCGGGGTGTGCTACCAAATATTAAATTAAGGGTGCCAATAATTTTGTCCGGTCCATTTTTTAGGGTTTTGCATGCAATGTGTCAGTTTGGCTTTTTGTTTCTCCATTATTTTTTTTTTTGTGTCCTAGCAATACAAACAAAAGAAATAAACATGAGAATGCCTAAACATTTGTAATTGCAACAATTTTCTGGGTGAAGTGGTGCATTATCTGACAGAAATGCAGGGGTGCCAATATATTTGGCCCTGACTGTACATGTATGTGATCTAGCCTGCTTGTGCCTCCCTGCCGCAGTAAATGTACTGCCAATGACTCCCACTACTGTCTCAGTCAATGAGGAGGGAGAATCCCTAGAGAGCCAAGGCTCTCGTGCATAACGCTGGATCACGATGGGGTTCAGGCAAGTATTAGGGAGTCCGAGGGGGCTTCTGCACACAGAAGGTTTTTACCTTCTTCCATGGAATGCACAAAGGTTAAAAAAAACTGTAGCCTTTACAACCACTTTAAAGATAAATATACACTAATAGAATTTTGTTAGACATTTTGCATTGTCATTAGTGGTGTCAAATCAACATTAATGTGGAACTTCACTCTCTGTCAACATGGACTATTTTTAACCACTTCAAGTCTAAACTTTTTCATCCCCAGGTCAATTTTCTACTTTCAGCACTATCATATTTTGAATGACAATTACTCAGTCATGCAACATTGTACCCATGTGAAATGTTTATCCTTTTGATGAGACGGATAGAGCTTTCTTTTGTTGGTTTTAGATCACCACTGTGTTTTTTATTTTTAGCTATAAAAATGAAAAAATACCAAACATTTTGAAAAAAAAAATCATTTTTTTGCTTAGTTTATGTTATAAAATTTTGCAAATAGATAATTTTTCTGTATAAATTTAGGCCACAATGCTTTCTGCTACATTTTCGGGGTTAAAATAACCCAAAACAGTTGAAAGTTACAGAGTCTACAAACTGTGGGATATATTTGAAAATTGATCAGTTGAGATCCTAAAATGCCAGATGCTGGTATGGCATATGGCAGTGATCAGGACACTGGTATGGCAGTGATCAGGACATTAGTATGAGGTATGGCGGTGGTCAGGATGCTGGTATGGCAGTAGCCAGGACACTGCTATGGGGTAGGGGGGTGATCAGGATGCTGGTATGGGGTATGGCGGTGATCAGGACGCTGGTATGGGGTATGGCGGTGATCAGGACACTGGTATGGGGTATGGAGGTGATAAGGGTGCTGGTATGGTGTATGGAGGTGATCAGGGTGCTAGTATGGCATATGGCGGTGATCAGGGTGTTGGTTTGGCATATGGTGGTGATCAGGACACTGGTATGGTGGTGATCAGGACATTGGTATGGGGGTGTTTTGTGTGCACTGGGACAGGTGACGGGTCTCCCTGCATTATTTATTATGGGCATTGTGGGGCAGTGTTTAGGGACACATGGGGCATTAAATTGGAGCACTGGGGTGGCACTGCAGAGTGTGTGTGTGTCCTGACAGGCTTCTGTACACTTAAACACTGCAGGATTGCTTCTCTCTGCTCTCACACTGAAAGCAGAGATAAGCGATCTTTACTTTGTTTCATTGTTTACTATGTGACTGCTGTGATTGGTCACAGCAGTCACATGGTAAAACATCACGTGATCGCCCAAACAGAGGGGTAATGTGATCCGCTGTGTCTGGGCAACACACCGATCACTTGGCTGTGCGGTGCACGCTCTGTGAGCCATGCACAAGCCATCGACTAGGGCTGACGTTCAGAAACATCAGCCTCATCAGTGCTGCTTCCTGTGCGTGGCCGGTGTACAATGGGCGGTCAGGAAGAGGTTAATTCTTATGCTGCTAGCTTCACTAAATGGATAGGAAACTATATCATATTTACTTGTTTTAAACTTTTTTTTTAGCATTTCTTCAGTTACTTCCTGGTTTCCATTCTTAGACAAATTATGTCATACATCCCAGGAGTCTTCAGGAAAGGAGGGGAGTGTTCCCAACTCAGCCAATGCCTGAGCCAAGGGCAGATGGATTCCAGGAACTAAATGCTACGTGAATCATCTGCCCTTACTCAAGATGGCCACTGCCAGAAATGCTAGGGGGTGTTTTTCAAAGTGCTTTCTCAGCAAAACAAAGCATGGAGACATCACTGGCCTGCCTCGCCGCTGGCTATCCCCGCTTCAGTCCATCCTGAATACGGCTGCCAGACTCATTCACCTTTCCAACCGCTCCGTTTCCGCCCCCCCCCCCTCTGCCAATCCCTCCACTGGCTTCCGATTGCGCAACGGATCAAATTCAAAATCCTAACGCTGACGTACAAAGCTGTCCACCATACTGCCCCGAACTACATCACTGACCTAATATCCAAGTACCGCCCAGCACGCACACTCCGCTCCTCACAAGACCTCCTTCTCTCTAGTTCCCTGGTCTCCTCCTCCCATGCCCGCCTCCAGGACTTCTCCATGGTGTCACCCATCCTCTGGAACTCCCTGCCCCAACCCATCAGATTATCACCTACTCTCCTCTCCTTTAGGCGCACCCTGAAAACCCATCTCTTCAGGGAAGCCTACCCCGCCCCCTGCTAACTTGCCGACCTCCTCCACTCTTCCTACCACTCCATCCCCCACAGCTATCTCCTCCTGTGCCACCATCCCCTCCCTCCTAGATTGTAAGCTTGAAAGAGCAGGGCCCTCGATCCCCTCATGTTTTGCATTGTATTGGTATTGTTCTGTCACATGGTCTGTCCCCCTTTATAATGTACAGCGCTGAGCGAACTATTGGCGCTTTATAAATACTGTATAATAATAATAATAATAATGGATGGATGGGGGATATCTCTTTGAATAGGAAAAATTAATTAAACAGTGCTTTTGGTTTGTGGTGCTCAGATACAGTGTAGGTGACGAGCAATTTGAAGAAGCAGGATGGAATATTTTTCTTGAATGTTTATATTTTGAACAGTGAATGGGGTTTTCGTTCAGTAAAGTCTGTTCATTCCAAAATGTTAAAGGACAAGTACAGCCAGAGCTTGTTTGGCTGTACTTCTGTGGATCACAGGAGTGCAGTTCGTTCTACACTCCTGTTACCTGTTTTCAGCTGACAGCAGGCCGATCATCAGGGCACTGATGATCGTGGCCCAGAAGTGCCACCCACCACTTCCGCCCATCTGTGCCCAGCAGTGCACCCACCAGTGCCCAGCAGTGCCTACCAGTGCCACCCACCTGTGCCCAGAAGTGCCACCCACCTGTGCCTTCTAGTGCCACCCACCTGTGCCCATCAGTGCAGGCCAGCAGTGCTGCCAGTCAGTGCCCAACAGTTGCGCCAGTCAATGCCTAGCAGTGCCGCCAGTCAGTGCCCAGCAGTGATGCCAGTCAGTGCCACCTATCAGTGCTGTCTATCAGTACCCATTATCAATGCCACCTATCAGTGCTGCCTATCAGTGCCACCTTATTAGTGCTGCCTATCAGTGCCCATCAGTGCTGCCTATCAGTTCCGATCAGTGCTTCCTATCAATCCCCATCAGTGCTGCCTTTCAGTGCCGATCAGTGCTTCCTATCAGTCCTCATCAGTGCTGCCCCATCAACGCACATCAGTGAAGGAGAAAAATTACCTGTTTGCAAAATTTTATAATAGAAACAAAGAAACTTTATTTTTTTCACGTTTTTTGCACTTTTTTTGTTTATAGTGCAAAAAGTAAAACACCCAGTGGCGATTAAATACCACCAAAAGAAAGCTCTATTTGTGAGAAAAAAATGATAAAAATTTCATATGGATACAATCTTGCATGACCGCGCAATTTTCAATTAAAATGCGATAGCGCTGAAAGATGAAAATTGGCCTGGTAAAGAAGGGGGTATAAGTGCCCAGTAGGCAAGTGGTTAAAGTAAGGCTAATAATATAACTTAGATAACAAAATCTTCAGTTTTACTCAAATAAGTTGATGCAAAATTGAATACACCCCACAACAAAAGCTACGACATCTAGTATATTGTATGACCTCCATGATTTGTAAGGACAGCAGCAAATGTTCTAGACATGAAATGAATAAGTTGGCGACATATTGCAACATCTATTTTTTCCGTTCTTCAAGAATGACCTCTGTTAGAGCTTGGATGCTGGATGGAGAGTGATTCTCAACTTGTCTCTTCAGGAATTCCCCATAGGTGTTCAATTGGGTTCAGATCAGGAGACATACTGTACTTGGCCACTAAATCACTTTGACCCTGTTCTTATTCAAAAATGCATCAGTGGCCTTAGATGTATGTTTTGGATTACAAAAAAAAGTGCACAACAACCAAGGGCACAGAGTGATGGTAGCATCTTCTCTTTGAATATAGACCAGTACATTTGTGAATTTATGATACCATCAATGATATGCAGCTCCCTGACACCAGCAGCACTCATGCAGCCCCACAGAAGGACAATGCCACCACCATGGTTAACTGTAGGCACCATGCATTTTTCTTTGCTCTCCTCACTTTTGCAATGTCATACAGTTTTGAAGCCATCAGTTCCTAAAACTTTTTATCTTGGTCTCATCACTCCAGAGTACAGAGTCCCAGTAGTCTTTTTCAGCATGGCCCTGGCAAATTCTAGGCATGCTTTTTTGTGCATGGGCTTTAGGAGAAGCTTCCTTCATGGACAACACCCATGCATGCCATTCCTCTGCAGTGTACGCTGTATTGTGTCACGGGAAACAATCACCCCAGTTTGGCTTTCTACTTCTTTAGCTAACTGCAGTGAACTTGCATGGAAATTTTCTTTAACCCTTCTTATCAGAAGATGTTCCTGTCGAGGTGTTAACTTCTGTGGATGGCATGGACGTCTCTGTGAGATGGTTGCAGTTCCGTCTTTCCTAAATTTTTGGATCACTTTTGCTACAGTATTCTGACTGATAAGTAAATCTTTGCTGGTCATTTTGTAGCCTTCACCTTTTTTGTGTAAAAAAAAAATTATTTTCTTTCTCAGGCCAGTGACATTTCTCTTCCATGTGGTGCCATTGCTGACAGCTGAAATGGGAAGGGTTTTCTTTGTTGTAATGCCCTTTTATAATCAATTGTCTGCTGGACATCTGTTTTAATGAATAATTAGACTCACTTGTAGTTGCATTCTTGTTAATTAGGATTTAGTTGTCTAAACTTTAGCTTTTCTCCTAAGACTTTCATTGGGGTGTATACATTTTTCCAACATGGTCTTGAATGAATGTGTTAGGAAAAATACTTTTTTGTGTGTGCAAATTAACAAATCTTCTTTGCAATCATTGGTCTGCAGGTGTGGCAGTATTTTGTAGTATAGTGTCCCAAAGAAAATGTTGATTCTGAAAAGAAAGTAAAGGTTTTCAGACAAATCTGTTGGGGTGTACTCATTTATGCTGAGCACTGCAACACCAACATAAAAAAATTAAAATTCAAAAACGGAATCACTGACTTAGATAAAGGATTCCCCCCGTGTATCAGTATTTTGTTGAACCACCTTTTTGCTTTCATTACAGCTTCTAGTCTTTTGGGATATGTCTCTACTAACTTTGCACATCTAGACTTTGCAATATTTGCCCACTCTTTGCAGAACTGCTCAAGTTTAGTTAAATTTGATGGCGACAGTTTGTGGACTGCAGTCTTCAAGTCATTCCACAGAGGGTTTAAGTCTGGGCACTGACTAGGCCATGCAAAGACATTCACCTGTTTCTCCTTCAACCACTGTGTAGTTATTTTTGATGTATGCTTTGGGTCTATGCCATGTTGGAAGGTAAACCTACCTATTGACAATTTTTTGCAGAGGGCAACAGACTTTCCTGAGGAAATTGACGGTATTTTGCCCAAACTTTATCCCGGAGATCTTTTGACAGTACCTTGCCACCCATAGTTGATTGTTTGCTTCAGTTGCGCTAGCAGGGACAGAAATGCTCCAGGAAAACTGTTTTCATGCTGAGCTAATCAAAATGACTACAGCTGATCACAGTTGAAATTCAGATGTCTTTGTGTGCCATTGAGAAGGTGATTAGCTACATCTGATTGGATTTACAAGTAATTTTTAGGAGGGGGATGATCATTTTTCCAACTCAGTGATTCTGTTTTTGAATTTTTTTCAAAAAAAATTCTAACATGGTGTTTATATCTTTCATTTGTATGTAAATACAGCTGGATAAAACAAAAACTGAATCTGTCTTTATTTCAGGCTGAAAAGCAACAAAAATGTGATTATTGTAACCCTTTTGCTGCCAGGTTTGTACAGCATACTGACCTAGAGCACTGCCTCATCCTGGCCAGGTCCGTACACCATATGGACTTGATTCCTCCTTCTGCTATAAGCACATTAATTTATAGCAGAACTGTTCAGCAGACTCTGCTGAACAAAACTGTAGCTCTGATCAGTGGATGACAATCGACTGATTAGAGCTATCCACCTATAATGTGACTAGCAGTGACAGCAGACAGATTCCCCGTTGAGTAAGTGTGTGGAATGGGCCTTAGGGTAGATTTAGACATGCATCTAAGTCTCCCTTGCCTCCAAA